CGAAAAGAAAAGTGTTTTTGCCTCTCTCTCTGTGTGTGTGAGTAAAAAAAGACTTCCTGGTTAAGCGAAGAGGGGGAATAGCGGCGAGAAAAAGCGAGATGGAGGCAAAATAAACCTTTTGCTTTATTCCCGCGGGTTGGATTCTCTTTCTTTTTTTCTTTTTTTTTTTTTTTGCAATGGACCTTGTGGCAAAAAAAAAAAAAAAAAAATGAAGAACAAAACAATGGTTTGAGAGGGAGAGAGGTTTTTTATGTGTGCTTGTGTAAATGGGGGGAGTGACGGCGGTTTGGCCAAGCAACATTCACTTTTCTGGTGAGGCATACCTTTTTTTTGTTGTTTTTTTTTTTTTTTCTTCCTTTCTTTTTTTGGTTTATGGCCTTCTTCCTTCGTTCTTTACATTTCACAGTATTGGGTCTGTCTACCTGCGTAAATAGCCACACCACGAATAGATGCAGGTAGCTGGGGCTCTTAAGCAAAAAGGTAACGCATGCTTCAACAACGGGGACATTGATGGCGCAGCAGCAGCCTACCAAGAAGCCATTGGCCTTCTATTGCAGGAGAAGAAGGGGAAGAAGATGCCGGAGGAAAAGAATGGCGTCACACATGACATTGTCGGTGGTGCCGGGGAGTTGCTTGCAGTTTTGTATTCAAATTTAAGTAACCTTTATAACATTAAAGGAGATTATGAGGTGAGCTGGAAAGCTGCTCAGCAGGCGACGATTTACGATCCCACCTTTGCAAAGGGGTGGCTCCGTTACATACAGGGAAGGCGAATGGACGGATACCCCTTTGAGGCCTTCGTGACGCTATTGCGACGGCTTCGACCTCTACTACGGAACTCTGCACCGTCCACTCTACCGAAGCAAATTGCGGGTGATGTGGCGCTGGTGGAGGCACCACTATACGATGATTTGGGTCTCTCCAGGGTGTTGCCTCACATTGAGCTGGATGAATATGAGGGTGGTGTTGGCATTGTCGCTCGCAGGGCGGTGAAACCCAACGAAATTATTCTCGTGGAAAAACGGTTTGAAACCTCCTTTGCAGAAATGGATCTCGGCGCCCAGAGCGATCTGACAACCATGGGGATTGTAACTCACTTTGCAAAGAAAATGTATCCGCACCAGTGTTCTCATTCGGAGACATGGGTTCGGTTTAACAAGCAGTTCAAGGGCTGCTGGCCACGCCGTCCAGAGGAAATCTCGGCTGACGTTCGAAGTGAGCTTTCTCATGCACTGCGAAGCCAGCTACCCGAGATGGGTGACGATGACTTTGAATCGCTATTTACTCTGGCAGTCATTTGTCGGTACAATTGTTTTCACTCCGGTTTTTTTCGTGCGTGCGCATTGGCCAACCACAGCTGCCACGCGAATGCCGCCATGAAGTACAACCCGGAGGATGAGACGGTAACACTTATTGCCGTGCGGCCTATAAGTGCTGGGGATTTTGTGAATGTCAAATACCTCAGAAACGCCCACTTCCTT